GTGTTTTAACAGTAGGGATGCCTCTGTTCACCCCTAAAACTGTGTGCTCTTTTTTGTGGGTACATAGTTTTAATTTTATTAAATTTATTGGGGTAACATTGCTTAATAAGATCATATAGGTTTCACGTATATAATTTTATAATATATTATCTCTATATTGCATTGTGTGTGTTCTTAATTCACCATTTCCTAAATGCCTAAAATCTCTTTTCCTTTATTGGTCTTATTTAGATCCTTGATTCATCATATGAATTGAATTAAAATTTTGATCAAATTTATCAGTTTTTAAAATCTATGTTTCATATGTCATATCTGAACTGATGGGGATTAATTTAATTATTTTGATATATTAGAAATTTTGATTTTGTATAACCACATAGGTGACTGAACAAGTCTAGAGATTGGCAGTATAAATAAAAGGTGTGCAAAAAAAGAGAAACACACTATGAGTAAGAATCATGTCTATTTTTTAAATCCTGAAACAACCTAGTTATTATTATTTTGTGGACATCAGTATTACTACCTATTCTTTTACTTAATATCTTATAAAAATTAATGCTGATCTGGCTTATTCCAAAACTTGCTATTTAGAGTATTTCTAATTTCTTCCTTAGTGTTTTACAGCATTGAGGGCGTATATGCTTATTATTGCTGCTCTACTAATAGATATTTTTTACTTTTATAAGAGAGGTTTAGTATTTTGCAGTTTTTCTCTTAAAGGGATTTTATCAACTTGGCCAACTTCATATCGATAATTTAGACCACATTCTAAAATATTTTGGAACATATAAGAAAATTTTCAGAGAGATTGCACATGAAAGAATTCCTCCTACTGAAAGGGCTATCATGGTAATTCCTTTCTCACAGATCATGCCTGGATGTCCATGGGAGCTGAGCTGGTTTAAGTACCATTTTATTTGTGCTGTGGGTCTTTGCAGAGCTTTATGGAGTCTGACCAGAACTACTCAGAACTCTGGGCTCAACATTAAATGTCTGCTCAGCACCTGTGCCTACAGCTACAGCAGCCTGCTTCCTCGAGTTGATACAGAGAATGCCATAAACGTGTAGGGTTTGCCTTTAGTCTGATTTTCTAACCTCTCTACCTTCCTCACTGTTTTTTAATGCCACAGGGCATGTATTCCTTTTGAAAACTAAAAGGGGATTAATTCTAATGTTGTATTGAAAGGCTTTTTTTTTCTTTCTTACAGAATTTCACAATACCCTTTGAAATATTTAGGGATACCCTGGGGTGTTGGAAATAGAGGATTAGAAACAATTGTCATAGATCCAATATTCCACTTTGCCAATATGCAGTCTTTTTTCTCAGCGGTACTATTGTTGCTTTCCTAAAATGTTTACATTCTTTATTTTCTCTCACTCCTCGTTGTCATGTGCTTTGTTTACCATATAGGACAAATAAATGTCTGTCCAATACTCTTGTTTCTCTGTACTTCTGGGGTTTTCTGAATGACATATATGTCATTTTACTTATAAATGTTTTCCTAGTTACGTTGGTGTCTTGTTGTATTATTTTCCTATAATCTCCAAGTCATTCACCAGAGGTCTTCATGATAACTGTCATTACATGATCTAGTGTTTCAAACCATTAAACTAGAATTACTCAGAATGAAGATTAAATTTATCAAAGATTAAACATTATTATAGGATGCACAGATATGCCCTAAAATATTGGGAAAATTGTCCAAGAGTATAAAGTTTAATGATACTGCAAATACTCAGAAGGGAAAAAATGCTTAATCTTTTTGCTGAGCACTGAAAGAATTAATGGAGTAATAACTGGATGAGCAAAGGGGTGGAGAGACGCCAACCTAAGTGGTAACCATACCGGGTGACAATGTGAGCATAGGTGTAGGGCCAGGGCCTAGTGAGCACTGCAGAATGTGAGAAAATTATACTGGTCCAAAAGAAAGTAAGATAAGTTGAGAAGTTATAAGAGAAGAAGTCATGTGTGACTAGATAATGAAGGGATTTCAGTGCCTCGGTCCAAATAAGGAACTGGGATGATAGTCTCAAAATATTAAGTTGATGATGCTGTTGTTTTGAGGTAAGATTTGTTGGTGTATGTTTCTCTTTTTTAGGACTTTTTAAAGTTTAGCTCTAGACAGTAGTATGAATTGGAACTTTGGATCAAGTAGGGAAGCTAACTGCCAATTCATTTAAAAAGTTACATGACCATAATGTATTTTTTGCCATAGGTTATTAGGAAAAGGGAAAAAGATTGGATTCATGAAAATTCCTGTGCAGAGGAAGTGAGAACACTTCCATTTCTGTTGCTCAGTAATTCTCTTTACAGCCTGCCTTTTTCTCATGTGGCATAGCCATCGTTTCCACTTGCAACGGGGAGTAGTAATGTGGTACAGCACGCCAAAATTTATGAGCAGAGGTCTAATGTGATGATGCCGTGACTCTTGGCTCTTAGTCAAACATGCGTGCAGCTCAAGTACACTAAGACTCCTTACAAGGTGTTGGAAACAGGCTGGCTGTGTTTTGATTTATTGTGAGACCTGATAACTTTCTAAGGTAGCAGAATATGTGCTTGACTTATATTTGTTCCATCTACTGAGCAGGATGGAGCAACTCCAGGGTTAATTTAGGCACACAACTAAGAAGGGAAAAACTGGCTTGGACAAAATTTGTTATATCTGAAGTACAAGTCACCTCATCAAAATCTAATGAAGTTAGGACAAAACATCAGAAGTTAACATCAACTTAAGTGCTATGGTTTGGGGGTTGGCTACTCCTTACTCTATTGGGTAGTAACAAAGGTCCCAATAAAAACAAGAGAAGTCCAGCCTAGTGAGAACCTGGATCTCAGGGTCAAAACTTGACTCACAGAGTGACAGAGATATAGCTGCTCTCAGTTTAGCTTTTTGTGCTACAAGAGAATTGGACTAGATGAATTGGACTAGACAAGTCTTCCTCAAACTTTAGATAAGTTACCCAATATCTCTGGATATCAATTTTGCTACAAATGTAGGAATGGCTATCTGAGAATCAAGAAGTTCATAGAAATTATATCAAGTTTTTGGGAAGTACAAAGTACTATGCACATATCTAGAAATAGTAGTACTGGCTGCTGAGGTAAGAGAGTGGCTCCCACAACCTGGTATCTAAGAAGGGGCTGTTTTTATTTTTTCAAAGGCTTAATGGAATCCTTTTATGTAGCTATACTGAGGTGGTCCAGGTTGATTTTGACTGGAATAGTAGACATTTAGCATGATGACTGTGGGAGGCTCATGCTGTTCAGAGGTGCTGACTGGTATATATATGAGTCTTTTATTAATGAATAATGGAATGTGAGATATTAAATTAGTAAATGCAATTTTCTGAATAGGTAAAATATTTCAAAAACATGAAATCCCTGTGTAATAAAGAAAATAATTAAGGTTCCTAATCTTTTATCTAAAACTTTTGAGCCAGATGTTTTTGAATTCAGAAAAATCTTTGGATTTTTAAAATGTATTAGGATACCTAGACCATACACTAAGTAATGTCTTCAGTGGGGTCTTGACCAACACCCCTTAATTAAACACATTAATATTTCTACAATTAAACGTGTGAATTGTCACATTGACTATTCAATGAGATTATGAAGGACTAAGAGGCCTTATGACAGTTCAGATCAGTCTGTTACCAAATTAGTTTGATGTGAAGTGACAAAACCTTACAGACTAATTTTGGATTTCTGAATTGTGGCTAAAGGGTTATGAATGGATCTAATCAAGTAACCAATTATTGAATAACTACTATGTGCCAGTTTTGAGATGGTGCCATTTGCACTAATCTTCGTAAACATCCTGTTAAAGTAGACATTGTTATCCATTACCCATAATTTATGAATTAGGAAAGGGAAATCAAGGTTCAGCCTGTTGGGTGAGTAGTCAGGGGCCACACTCGTAAGTATGTGGCAGATCTGGAATTTGAACTCAGCTCCTCCTGGCCCCAAAGACAAAGAACAATATTGTTTTCTCACTGCTTGGTCAAGACCTCTGGTGGTTGTGATTATTTTCCCCTGTTGTTTGCATATTTGAAAGAAAAAAAAAAAGCCAGCCCTAGCAGGTAGCTCCATTGGTTAGAGAGTTGTCCCAACATGCCAGGGTTGCAGGTTAGATTCTTGATCAGGGCACATACAAGAACCAACCAATGAATGCATAAATAAGTGGAAAAACATATCAGTGTCTCTCTCTGTCTCTGTCTCTCTCTATCCCTCCTTCCCTCCCTCTCTCTCTAAAGTTAATAAAATAAATAAAATTTTTAAACACTTTAAAAACTTATTAAGTTTTGTTTCCTCACTCTGTATTGTCTTTCTGAAAGAGTTCATCCAATGATCATTTAGAAATGAAGGACATCCAGCTGGATCTATACCCCACTGCTGAGTATCACACTTAGACATTCAACTTACTGTTGGGTATCTCCATGTAATTGTCTCACTGTCCCAGTGAGCTCCGAATAGAAGTAGGCATTTTTCTCCTCCACATTTGTCTTTGGGAATTCCCTATTCTGCCATCCCAGTTACCCCTAAGCCAAACTCCCCCTGCTTCCCTCCCTCTCCAACTCTATTAATCACTGGTCCTGTGGAGTGCAACCAAAGAGCAGCACAGAGGAAGCTGGGGATTCTCAATGTGTAGTCATTTAACTTACCAATCACAGATCTTGTCACCATTCCCAGAACAAAGATTCTGACCAATTTTGGATAGTCAAAGCAGCCTGAAATCCTATCTACCTGCTCAAGGACAAATTACCAAATATTAAACCCTATAATTTTACTTTGTATTCTGGACTGCTTTATGTGTTACAAAGCCTGTTTTCTGTGATCTGAAAATTACCTGTATTTTCTCTATTCCTGTGGGTGTGTTGTGAAATTGAGTAACTAAGTAGATAACATGCTTTCCCATAACAAATAACCTTTGCTCCAGAATCATCCTGGGATGCTCATGAGGTAAAGTAACAGCCACCTCTTTTTTCATTCCCATTTTTAGGTAAAAGGCCGAGCCTGAAAGTTCACATCAATACCACAAGTGACTCTATCCTCTTGAAGTTCCTGCGTCCAGATCCTAACGTAAAACTGGAAGGTTTTCTCCTGGGATACGGCAGCAATTTATCACCAAACCAGTACTTCCCTCTTCCCGAGGAAGGGAAGTACACCGAGGCCGTAGTCGGTAAGATGCTTGGCTCAGCCTGGGCGGGAGCGGTAAAGGTAACAGGTGTTCCATGAAACATAAATCTGGAGGCAGGCCCCATTCTTCTACATCCTCAGCTGAATCGAATGCCAGAATTACAAACCCTCTTCATAACTGTTATTACCCATAGCACAATTCCTTACATCAAAAGGTAATGTGTATTCTGCACATACTACAGAAATAATCAACTTTATTGCCTACAGTTCCTGAGTGCATAACTTAAATTACATAAGGAAAAAAAGCACTTACATGCCTGGTTGAAATCTCTGTAATATAGCTTATGTGGATTAATTTCCCCCTCCCTCAGTGTCTTTACTTTCTTCTGGTGGAAAATAACACTATGACTTTCTGGGTGTTTCTTCATGAGAAGCTACCTTTAGAAAGAAAAGAAAATGTATTACATTTTTAAAAAATTGTAGTATTTCAGACAAAAAGATCAGAGTTCTCATATGTATTATAAAGTTTAACATTTCTTTCAAAATTTTTTTAATCCCATTAAAATGTAATTTGGAGGATATGGGCAACCTTCAAGTCTTGTTCAGAAAAATCATTTGCAAATAAGACCTTTTTAAAGAATAACATTTTTTAAAAAGAGATAATGTGGCTTCTGAACAGTCTGAGGTTTATATTTTGCTCCACTGCTAGGATGATTGCTAAAGAGCTTTTCCATGAACTTCTGATATCTAATCCTGTAACTTGAACTACTGTAGATCAGATCTGGCATTTACTCATATATGGTCCGAATGTTGAAGATGAATCTGATTTGTCCTGCAGCCCCTTGCTTCTCATAGAGAAGTCTCAGTTGTACTTTAAAATCAGGTGAGAGAGTAATATTGTTAATTAAATATCTAGATTAGATTTTACATAATATAATCACTTTAAAGCAAACAAATTACAGTTACCAAAAAGTTGAGAATTAGGAACTTTGGACAAATGTAACAATACTGACCTTGACCATATAAACCATAAGGAATTTGAAATTTTGCAAACATTCCTTCATCACATTCACTCTTTACTATGCAAAGTGACTGGACACGCTGTATACTTAACTCCATGCAAATGGAAACAGATCTGCTGCCCCTTTATTTATTGAGCATTAGAAATAATAGTTTCTTTGTGATGGTTCACTAGTTCAATGATCAGGAATAATCCAATGGACAAGCTTCCCTTTTATTTATTTACAATTGTTTTCACCCTTTAAAATAATTTTATTATAGAAAGTTCAAACATAAGGGGAGAGAATATTATAATGACCTTCATGTCTCATCATGCAACTTGAATACATATCACTTTTTTGCTAATCTTGTTCCATGTATTCTTCACACACATTATATTACTTGAGTATTTTAAAGTATAATTGTGTTACAGGACGAGGACCTGGCCCGGAGCGGGCCTGCCTCGGGCCAGCTGGTAGTGTGTGGGGTTTTGACTTCGTGCAGGAAAGATTGCACAACGTGAGTCCAGGTGGTTTTGAGAGTATGTTTATTAAAGCTGGGGACAGTGGAACAAGGAAGGTCCTAGGATAGAAAAAGCAACAGGAGAGAGACTAGGTGGCACTGCTTTGGCTCCTGAGAAATGTTATAGGAAAGAAGTGAGCCAAGGCGGGGCTGCGGTTAGCTCACTGGAAAGTCAGAGAAAAAGGGGGCCTTGGAGACAACTATTGCCCGCTGCTCCCTGGGTTGCAAGTCTTATGGGGACCCCTAGAGTTTAGGAGAAAGGGAACATGGGCGTGCTGTAGCAAGGGTGCACTATGAGTCCTTTGTCTTGAGGCTTTTTAACTCTCTGGCTAGTGGGAATCCTAGGGGAGGTCTCAGGGGAGGGTCTTAACAAAATTCCATTAGTTTTCCAGGTGCGTCCTTCAATATGCTGACTCATCAACACATGGGTACAGAGGGGTCAGGGTTATTTTCTGGTTAGTTTTAAAGAATGTCATTTAAGATGGACCAGAACCGAGGTCAGTCTGCCCAGTCTGTGTAAACTACTTGCTCCTAAGTCCCCTAGGTTAGGGAGAATAAAATCTTGTGATTCATTAACTGGCTATAAACTGCTTAAATTGTTTGGCCATGTTTAATTATTTTCTCAGTTTCCCTTCTTCCACTTGTCAAGGAATTTCCCTAGCTTCTTACTATTCTGTCACAATTGGATATCATATTTTTAAATCTATGAACACTTCAGCATGCATCTCTAACAGATCAATATTTTTAATAATGTCATGCCTTTATCACATCATAACAATAATTCTATAATATTTTCTACCTAGTCCATATATGAATTTCTCTGTTGATCTTAAAAATACCTCCTTAAAGTTGTATTTTTAATTTTATTCTATAAAAATCCTTTCCCTTCCTTTTTTTAAATGTCATTGATTTTCTGGAGAAATTGGGTTATACATCCTTATCCACATTTTATATTTAACTGGTTGCTTCCATCTGTCCCTGTATTTCCTGTGAAAAGATATTTAGATTTGGAGGTTGCATTAGATTTGTATTCAGCTTTTGGGGGAAATAATACTTTATAGGTGGTACTGTATATTTCCTAGCAACTCACAAAACAGGTACAGAATGGTTGATATCATACTTAGTGATGTTAAGACTGTTTGGTGTCTCTAGCCTGATCTCTCCATTATAAAATTCACCATCAAATTTCACTTAATGGTTTAGCATCTATTGGTGATCATTGCCCAGATCCATTATTTTAAACTAGGGCAATTTTACATTGTAAATATAATCTAGATAGAATCTAACTTTATCATCTCTTTTGTATTATTTAGAGGAAATTTTACAATAAAGAAGAACTTTCATTTACTTTATTTTCCTTTTTTTTTTTTTTTTAAATATATCTTTATTGATTTCAGAGGGAAGAAAGGAGAGGGAGAGAGAGATAGAAACATCTATGATGAGAGAGTCATTGATTGAGCCCACAACCCAGGCATGTGCCCTGACCAGGAATCGAACCCCGATCGCCTGGATCCCAGGTCGATGCTCAACCGCTGAGCCACGCCAGGCCAGGCACTTTATTTTCCTTAATAGTGTTTTAGGAAAGGCAAAATAAATTCTCATTGCAATAAGTTACTGTTTATTTGTTTTATGATCAATAAGAATGCATTAATTTCTATATATTTAATGGGTTTTAATCAATATGTGACTTATCTAGCTCTATGATTCTTCTCATTTTCTAGCTTGAATACGGTTGGTTGTTTACCTTAGTTTACTATTAAACTGTGAGCTTCTTGGAGTCAAAGTTCTTGTCTTATTCTCTGGTTATTTGTAGCAGAATGATTTACAATTAGTAGAGAGGCAATAACTACATATTTATGGCACTGAATTGAATAGACTCAAGTTGGCATAGAGTAGTTAGGCTGGAGAAGGCCATGAGAGATTGTGCAATCTAGGCCCTTGTCGTCAAGCAAGTAAATACGTAAGCCAGCCATGGTAGATGAAATAGATAGATCACTATGTGTCTTAAAGATCTCTAGGGACAAAGATTCCCAAACTTCTCCTGGAAGGCATTTTCAAATAGCCTTTTAAAAACTCTTACCTCATCCTTTAGATCAATATGCTTTTTTTATCAATCTCTTTTGTGTTCTAGTAGTATTCTAGTGGAAGAAAAATAACATTTCCCTTACATATTTTCTTCCCTACCTTCCTTTATGCCAAGGAATCTGGGTGCTTCTACTTTTATTACTTCAAAATGGATTTGCATTCCAGGTTAAATGCTATTCCTTGGTTACTCAGATTGATTATTTATTGTCTTTCTCAATCATTGTGTCTTTATTAACTGCTTCTAATTGATTAGCATCTGTCTGTTTCCTATTGTTGCTGTAGTAAGTTACTAAACTTGATGGCTTAAAACATCACAAACTTATTATCTTACAGTTCTTTAGATCAGAAGTTCAACATGGGTCTCTCACTGGGCTAAAATCAAGGACTGGGCAGGGCTGCATTCCTTCCGGGGCCCTGAGGGGAGAACCTTTCTCCTTGCTTTTCCCAGCGTTCTTCCTCTTCCTTCAAAGCCAACAACAGTGGGTCAGACAGTTCTACCACATCACTCTGCTCTTCTCTTCTGCCTCCCCCTCACCTTTTAAGGATCCTTGTGATTACATTGAGCCCACCTGGGTAATCCAGGATGCTCTCCCTATTTTAAAGTCAGCCGATTAACAACCTTAATTCCATCTGCAACCTTAATTCTCCTTTCCTGTAACCTAACATAGTCACAGGTTCTGGGGAGTAGGATGCAGGCCATTATTCTGATTGCCACAAACTGTATGTTTGAAATGAGTGTCTCTATTCTAGTCCCTTCTGCTACCAGTTTAGCGGTGATCACTCTCAATTCTATTCATCTGTAAGACAGCAATAAAGTCAATTTTTCACAGATGTGCTGTGAGCATATTAGTGAATTCATGGCCATTAGTGATGAGTTGAAATCCCTTGCGTGCAATGTGCTATATAAGAGCAAAGAATTTTTGTGGGTTTTTTAAATGGAAAAAAGGCATCACTTACAGCCCCTCCTCTTACTTTCTCCTGTAATAGGATAGTAGTATTTGTTCAGTTGCACTGAACTATACCCATAGTAACTTATTCTCATTTCAAAACAAATATGAAGTGCCACATCATCTGACACATTTCACTTGTTTGGTGTGTTTAAAAGGTCTCACCACTGAAATGAGAAGCTGTCAATCAGTCAGAAATATTCAAATTAACATTTAGTGACCTGTGGACTAATACTCCTTCTAAATGATCATTTATAAGTATTTCTACATTTATTTTAATATTTATTTGTCTGCATCTAAACAGTATTAACAGAGGCATTTCCAAAAGCCATATGCTGCTCTTACATGCAAAACTAAAGAAACATAAAATATTCCCTTTTGCTATTTTAAAAGGAATATAAAATTCATATGAAATGCCTGTAAAAAATTTTTACTAATGTGAAATCTTTTACTAAAATTTGAGATTAATTGGACAGTAGAAGAAGTAGTA